ACTGTTATGAACCTGGCTGCTTGTTGTCAAAAGACCAACACTCACACACATAGACTTCCAGGTATGCCCATACATACACAGAAAGGAAGGGGAGAGGCTGGGAGCATCACACCGCACAGCGAGAGAGAAACACAGCGGAACACTTGACCATGTGATATGACAGAGAACACTGAAAGTGCACTTCACTCCACAAAATCCTCACAACCAGTCACAAAGGAAAGTCGAGTAGATCACATCCAGGAAACAATGAAACAAAGATAGTTCAAACCCAGTATCAACACTGTTTATTAAACTCGGAGTCTCGAATTGTCAGAATAACCCCAAAACTATGGTGCGCTGCTCAGAAATGAGCATCGCTTCACTCCCCCCTGAACAACCGCTCATAACACCCCTGAGTCCCTGAAACATCAAGCGTAACCCAAATACTGCCTCCAGAGGGAAGTGCCACCCTGAAACAGGCCTCTGAGGCCAAGCGCCACTCAAAGGATGAAGAAGAAGACCAGCGCCACAGTGTCTGATGATGATGAAGTGCCAGATGACTTCCCGGGTGGAAGTCTACAACAGCGCCACCTCTCCTGACAAGATGATCTCTGAGGAAGAAGCTGCAGCTATGGCTGCAGTGCCACACACCCTGTAACCCTATACTTCGGAGGAGGGTCCAGCAGGGCACCACTTCTCTCGTCTCCAGTAGACTTCAAATAGCCCGAACCTCTGTATAGCCCCGCGTGCTGTCAGAGTACAGCGCAGGTCCCAGCTATGGCCGGCGCTTCACAGGTCTGGCGATGTCCGTCTCCTCCAACGCAGAAGTTGTCACCACTCTAGTTCATGCGTTGCACAGCAGCGATCTACACAGTACCAACTGCCAAAAGCCCTGAACCGATGTGCCCATCCTATCTATAACCTACACTAGCCTAGACACGACCTACACCGGACTGACTCGACCAACCGGTACCGTATCAGTTTCGGCCTCTCGGCCTCTACCTACCCGGCTATAGGCTATAGGACCGTCTCTCAGCATAGGCCCTTAGGGCCTGTCTGTCCCAGGGGTAGTCCGGGCCTGCTCTTCGCAGTTAAGGTAGCTGTAGGTACTGTTAGTGAGTACGGGCCTATATTTTGCCGAATTTGCAGATATGTCCCTCAAGAATTTCCCCTACAGGTAGGTCTCTCGGTTAGCCCTCAGCCAAACAAAATTACGAATCTATACTACCTATGATACAGCCTCGACACAAGAGGCTACAGGCACCCAGAAATCAGCAAGTCATTGCAAGTGGGTTACATTCGTCCTGCTCGTGAGAATCAGAAGTATTTGTGAGCCTTCTAGGTTCTTCCAGCCACGCAGGGGAAGCAGGGAACTCCTGGGTGGTTGGGCACGCCTAACCAATTCCGTCCCAGGCCACTGTCTGAATAGGCCTGGGTGCAGACACTTTGGTCCGACATGAAGCTACTGGGTGCACGGTCGCCAGGCCCAGGCAGCTAGGACAGGCAATCACTTTCCATATAGGGCAGTGGCCACCTGCTGTTCGTTCATTCAGGCACTTGCGAGTGCATGCGGCAGCGCTGCTGGAGCGACTTCTGGCGCGCTGCTGCCTAGCGTTAGTGCCTCGGCGCACGCGGGCATCGGTGGAAGAAGGGCGCTGCAAGAAGGCAGCACCATCGCCCGGCCCGGAGAAGGTCAGCGGGGTGTGGTGGTCTTCAGTTAGTGAGGAGACGTGGGAGAAGAAGACAAGGGTGAGAGGGCGAGTGAGGAGGTGAAGTGAGGGCACGGCCGAAGTCTTGGCGGATGTCTGCATGGTAGACATCTGCATGTACTTCGGTCGCTGCGGCTGATGTCAACTGGTTGCTTCGTCATTTTGTAGGCTGTTAGAGTAGCTATAGGGCGCTGAGCACCAATGGGAGAAAGAGCTTCAATAGAATTGTCGGTGGTGGCAAGAGTAGGCTTTCATTGACAATTGGGTTCTTTATAATGGCTCCAGTCATTACATTTACGTTAAGTTCAGTTGCTTGGGCAATGATACCTTTTGATTATGGTATGGTACTGTGTTTGATGGAGTGGAAAGAAAGGTACAAGGGGCGTCTTTGCTTTGGATGGATGTCTGAGTGGTTGAAGGTATCAGTCTAACAAGAGTAGATATCCCATGAACAAAGTCATAGCTTCGTCCTCAGTTTGATATGAAGTACAAAAAAGAATTAAAGGTAATAAAGTATGGTATGCGGTAAAAAAGAATGAGATTGATTCCGGACAATTAAGAGTCGGAAGACGCGAAGCAAAGCGAAGCTGTTTTGTTCCTCCTTCGGTGTAACATCAGTGCATTTCTGCTTTCTGGACAGCATACGACTATCTGGCTTTCAGTGTGATTTTGCAATCTGGAATTCTGTCATTTAGCTATTGCTCACATTCCTTGCAATACATTCCTGCATACATTGAGAGCACTACCTGTGGGTCCTTGGTGCATGTTCATCCTGCTTACCTACCTTGCACATACAAGACATCTTTTTCCCTGTTTATGCACTCTCATCATTCCTTTAGAGCACCTTTAGAAGGAAGCCTGGGTCCATATACAACCACCAAGAATAAGAAATTATGAACACGGTTGACAAGAATAAAGGAATAAATTTTGTAGGCTGTTAGAGTAGCTGTAGGGCGCTGAGCACCGATGGGAGACAGAGCTTCGATAGCATTGTCGGTGGTGGCAAGAGTAGGCTTTCATTGACAACTGGGTTCTTTATAATGGCTCCAGCCATTACATTTATGTTAAGTTTAGTTGCTTGGGCAGTAATACCTTTTGATTATGGTATGGTACTGTGTTTGATGGCGTGGAAAGAAAGGTACAAGGGGCGTCTTTGTTTTGGATGGATGTCTGAGTGGTTGACGGTATCAGTCTAACAAGAGTAGATATCCCATGAACAAAGTCATAGCTTCGTCCTCAGTTTCATATGAAGTACAAAAAAGAATTAAAGGTAATAAAGTAGGCAATGTGGTAAAAAAGAATGAGATTGATTCCAGACAATTAAGAGTCGGAAGGCGCGAAGCGAAGCTGTTTTGTTCCTCCTTTGGTGTAACATGAGTGCATTTCTGCTTTCTGGACATGCTGCGCCTGCACACGAGGGCCATTTTTCAGGTCCAGCGTCATTCAGGCTGAAAGCCTGAAAATAAGGGCCTACAGGCCCCGTGACGGGTCCGCCCGAAAGCCTGAAATCCAGGGCCCACAGGCCCTGTGTCGTTTCAGCCTAAAAAAGGCCTGAGCCTTTTCAGCCTGAAACTGAGTGCTATTTCCGGGCCTACAGG